TACACTACAATACAATACAATAATACACTACAATAATACACTACAATCATACACTACAACAATACACTACAATAACACACTACAATAATACACAACAACAATACCCTACAATAATACACTACAATAATACACTACAACAATACCCTACAATAATACACTACAATAACACACTACAATGATACACTACAATAACACACTACAATAATACACTACAACAATACACTACAACAATACACTACAATAACACACTACAATAATACACTACAATGATACACTACAATAACACACTACAATGATACACTACAATAACACGCTACAACAATACACTACAATCATACACAACAACAATACACTACAATAACACACTACAACAATACACAACAACAATACACTACAATGATACACTACAACAATACACTACAATAATACACTACAATGATACAATGATACAATGATACACTACAATAACACACTACAATGATACACTACAATAACATGCTACAACAATACACTACAATAATACACTACAATAATACACTACAATAACACACTACAATAATACACTACAATAATACACTACAACAATACACTACAATAACACACTACAGTAATATCCTACAATAACACACTACAATAATACACTACAATAATACACTACAATAATACACTACAATAATACAATACAATAACACACTACAATAACACACTACAATAATACACAACAATATTACACTACAATCGTACATTAAAATAATACAGTACAATAATACACTACAATAACACACTACAATAATACACTACAATAATACACTACAATAATACACTGCAACAATACACTACAATAATACACTACAATAATACACTACAATAATACACTACAATGACACACTACAACAATACACTGCAACAATACACTACAATAATACACTACAATAACACACTACAACAATACACTACAATCATACACAACAACAATACACTACAATAACACACTACAATACACATTACAATAACACACTACAATAATACACTACAATAATACACTACAATACACTACAAATAAACAACAATAACACACTACAATAACACACTACATACACACAAATAATACACTACAATAATACACTACAACAATAATACACTACAATACAATAATACACTACAATGACACAATACACTACACTAATACAATAATACACTACAATAATACACTACAATAACACTACACACTACTGAATACACTACAATGACACACTACAACAATACACTACAATAATACACTACAATAATACACTACAATAATACACTACAATAATACTACAATACAATAAACACTACAATAATACACTACAATAACACACTAAACACAAAATACACTACAATAAACACTACAATAATACACTACAATAATACATACAATAATACACTACAATACACACTACAACAATACACTACAATAATACACTACAATAATACACTACAATAATAATACACTACAATAACACTACACACAATACAATACACACTACAATAATACACTACACTACAATAACACACTACAATAACACTACAATAATACACTACACAATACACACAATAAACAATAATACAATAATACACTACACAATAATACACTACAATAATACACACAATACAATAACACACTACAATAACACACTACAATAAATACACTACAATAATACACTACAATAATACACTACACTACACACTAATACACTACAATAATACACTACAATAATACACTACAATAACACTACATACACTAAATACACTACAATACATACACTACAACATAATACACTACAATAACACACTACAATAATATCACTACAATAACACACTACAATAATACACTACAATAATACACACACACATACAATAATACACTACAATAACACACTACAATAATACACTACAATAATACAATACACTACAACAATACACTAACAATAATACACTACAATAATACACTACAACACTACACACTACAATACTACAATACACTACACTACAATAACACACTACAATAATACACTACAATAATACACTACAATAACACACTACAATAATACACTACAATAACACACTACAATAATACACTACAATAACACACTACAATAATACACTACAATAATACACTACAATAATACACTGCAACAATACACTACAATAATACACTACAATAATACACTACAATGACACACTACAACAATACACTACAATAATACACTACAATAATACACTACAATAACACACTACAATAATATCCTACAATAACACACTACAATAATACAATAAATACACACACTACAACATACACTACAATAACTACACACAACAATACACATACAACTACACACACTACAATAATACACATACAATAACACACAATACAATAATACACTACAATAATACACACAACACTACAATAACACACTACAATAATACACTACAATAATACAATACTACAATAACACACAATACAATAATACACTACAATAACACTACAATAACACACTAAATAACAACAATACACACACTACAATAATACAATACAATAACACACTACAACAATACACTACAATGATACACTACAATAACACACTACAATAACACACTACAATACACTACAATGATACACTACAATAACACACTACAATAACACACTACAATAATACAATACAATAACACACTACAATAACATACTATAATAATACACTACAATAATACACAACAATATTACACTACAATCGTACATTAAAATAATACAGTACAATAATACAGTACAATAATACACTACAATAACACACTACAACAATACACTACAATAATACACTACAATAACACACTACCATAATACACTACAATAATACACTACAATAACACACTACAATAATACACTACAATAACACACTACAGTAATACACTACAATAACACACTACAATAATACACAACAATATTACACTACAATCATACATTAAAATAATACACTACAATAATACACTACAATAACACACTACAGTAATACACTACAATAATACACTACAATAATACACAACAGTGACTCCTGTGAGCTTTCAGACATGTTAGAATGTTGTTAACTTCTCAAAACAGAACTGGAGTTGTGTTTTGTTTCATTCATATGTTTGAGTAACCCTTTATTATTACTGTTACATCTTCAAAGCTCAAAATGCTCTGTTCAAACTTGTGATGTCATGAAGTGGTAGTCTTCAAGTGAACAGTTCCTTTTACCTTTTGTTCAGTAGAGATGGACAATTCTGAGGCTGAAATTATCCAAATAATTCTAGTGAATTATTTGGATAATTTGGATAAATAATTCTACTGAGTTTAAAAACACAGTGGAGCACTTCTTGTATTACCACATGACATTACAAGGTGGAGAGAAAAAAGAACTCGGCCTAAATCTGTGTACAGTGTGTTAAACATGTGTGAATGAAACAAAACACAACTCCAGGTCTGTTTATGATGAGGAAATGACATTAGAACACAGATCTGAAAAATATTTTAATATAACCTTTGAAGGGACTAAAATAGTTTTTATGTCACCAAACAAACCAGTAAAATGTTGTATAATTGACAAGTAGAACTTATACTTGTATTTAGTTGTGATTGATGTGCATATAGCAGCAACAAAAGCTTTAGAAAATTAGTAGTAGCAGCAGCAATAACAGTAGCAGTTGTAGTAGCTTCAGAAAGCAGTTTTAGAAATAGCAGTAGTAGTAGTAACAAGTAAAAGTAGTAGTAGTAGTAGTAGTAGTATAGTAAAGCAGTAGTAGGTTAGTAGTAGTAGTAACAGTTGCAGTAGCAGTAACTGTAGTAGTAATAGCAGAAGGAGCAGCAGTAATAGTAATAGCAATATAGCATTAAAGTAGTAGTTAGTCGTAGTAGTAGTAGTAGTAGAGGTAGTAGTAGCATTAGTAGGTTAGTAGTAGCAGTAGTAACAGTTGCAGTAGCAGTAGCAGTAGTAGTAGTAGTAGTAGTAGTAGTAGTAGCAGTAGTAGTAGTAGTAGTAGTTTGTACATTTTGGGGTGTTTCAGTCAGATGAAAATATCTTTGATTAATAATAGTAATAGGAGTAGTAGTAATAGTACTAATCGTATCAGTATATGAATAGTGTGAGTTTAAATAAATTTGGGCAAATGTTAAAGGTTCAGTGTGTAACTTTTCTGGAGTGGGGGGTGTGCACCTGACTGTAGGCTATGACTTTGACTTGCATGAAATTATACTGCACTTTCATTCAGTTACAGGTGTTTTATTGCTACAAAACCAGAAAAAAAACTCACATTCTTACTATGATCGGGCTCGTCTCTCCACTGATCTGACATGTAACGTGGCCTAGTGAAGCGACCTTGCTTGTCTTCATAGATCTGTTTAATTGCAGATACTGTGGAGTTTCTAGGGAATGAAATAACATCTCTGCAGAGACAGAAACAGGTGACAGACCATCCACTAAAAAGTTTCAGTGTGTAAACAAGTAGATTTCATTTCTAAAGTTCAGAAATTGCACTTATAGTCCAGTTTATGGTTCCACTTTTGGTTTTGGTAATTTTTGTTCTTATAAATTGTTGTTATGAAACTAGTCCACACTTCTCCACACAGCTCTGTTCAGTCTAACCGAATTTATCCAATAGCCACAATGTAAACATCCACCCCCCATCTCTGCTTGCAGTTTTAACCCAAAAATAGCTCCTCTCTGGCCCTGTTTCCTGCCCCTGCTCCTCCAAATTAATTAAAGTGCACTCGTAAACATCCTTGGCCGTGGTTTTGGGGGCAGTAAAAATAACCACCCAATATCATTAAGAGGGGCGGGGTCAGACCTTCCGCGCGCCCCCGCAGCGCTGGATCAGGTGACCGGGTAGAGCGGCTCCACAGCCCGGCCTCAGCGCCTCTCGACACCGGGGGGAGGGAGGAGGAGGAGGCGGGAGTCTTGGCTGGTGTTGAGCACAGTTAGCAGCGTGTAGTAGCGGTTCATTGCAGCAGCAGCAGGAGCAGTGTGTGTGACTTGTGGACACCGATGAAGGCTATGCTAAACGAGAGGCTATGGACAGACTAGCCGAGTGACCGCTGGAGCCGTGCGCACACTTGGATCTTTGTTGTCACTCCAAACATGGACGAACCGAATATTCTGAGACGCCGTGGACTTCAGGTAGCGTGTCTGTTTCATGACAACAGTTGCAATTTTGTGTCATGACATTGGCTTAAAAAAAAAAAAAATCTTTCTTTTTCAGTGCAGCAACTACATGCGCATTGAACGTCTGTTTTTACGCACGAAATATAGCCTTGAAACTAAACTAAACGAATCACGACGTGTTATCTGGAACAGGTCTAGTTATTTTCACTGTAATTAATTGTGCTTTTTATCATTTATTTTATTAAAACAGCGGCTACGTGTGCGTTTGACGTTGTTTTTACGCACGAAATGTGAAAAACTCAATGAATGCCAACGCGTAACTGTTATCTGAAACAATTCTAGTTATTTTCGAGCTAATTGCGTCCTGCAGCGTTAATTAGGGATATCGTTAAGTGAAAGATGCTGGTACATTACTGGATGTCAGGTTGCCTTGGAGACAGTGGCACAGAATTCCACGGCGTAAAACGTGATTGGCAGAAAATCAGGCTTCTGAGCTGCGTGCGTTACGGGTGCCATGTTTACCAATCGTGGAGGCATCTCCAGAATGGATGGATGGATGCGAGGAGAAGTCACGCGTTTCTGCTGACTACTTCATTCATGGACAGAGGCAGTGGCATTGTTTTCAAGCATAGACTCCCTCTGGTATTTATAATAGTCAAAAGATCAGTATCAGAAACGCTTAATTTAAAACAATGTATGCTCTTTAGTTTCCCCTTTGTCATTGTTCCTTTTTGTACCTGAAGGGAAGCAATTATTTGTGACATGCTTGGAGAGTATGCCCTGTTTAATCCTGTTATGGAGACCTTTTTTAGTCCTGGTTTAGTCCAGCCTTTTACTACTTTAACATTCTGAATCTTGTTTTGTCCATAGTGGTTTATACTAGTCTATGTGGGTGATATGCGCTCTTATACTTTCATTCTCATTCTAAAGCTATTCAGGAAAGGCTAATTTCTACCTGTCAAAATGAGTGTTATCTAGTTTTGAGTTTTAGTTTTAGTATGGATTAGTATCTGATTTTCATTACTTCTGATAACACTGGAATGCAATTAGGCTGACATATTTTGATTCCCAGTTACAGAAACCATTTCTAGTCCCGGTTTAGTCCAGCCCTTTACTGGTTTAGCCTTCTTAGTTCTGTTTTGTCCTGGCTTCGTTGTCTTGAGTCCTTGTCAACACTTGGTTTGTTTGTTAAGCTTTTATATTTAAAAGTACGAGTCACAACTTAACCATTATTTAGACCAGTTTATTGTTTTGTATTGTATTGTTTATTGTATTCATTCATTCATTTAGAAAAGGAACAGTTGACCCACATGATACATATTGGCCCAAGTCATTTTGAAGTCATTTTATGACTTTGTGACTGACATAAGGTAACAATAACCAAAATATCATGATATTGTATCGTCAAAAGTCTCACAATATCATGGGCCATCACAATAATACTGTACAAAAACACTTGTAGTTTAATGTTTTATATTGAACTACAAGTGTTTTTGTTTAAATTCATTGTTATGGTGCTGTAAAAACCAAAGTGAACTACATAAACCATGATCCTTTGCAGACCACATGAAGAAATAACTGTTATTAAGCACTATAATATCTTTATTATTTTTATTATAATAGAACCAAAGGATTGTCAAGGCCTTTAAAAAGGAAAAAGTTGCATATTCACAATTTTGTTCACCTCCACAAATATTACAATAAACATCGTACACTGAGGTTAGTTAGTAGTTAGTATATTGTTTCTCATCTATTAGTATCATCTTGTATGAAATCATGATCCCATGTTGTACACTTGTTGGTACAGTTTTTGTGTTGTAAAAGATGACATGGGCCATTATTTCATGAGGGCGTCTGATTTTGGCCGCAGGATGAGTTCAGTGTGTCTCTGGGGACGATGATGGACATTAAAGTCACAGTGACATAAAACACAGCAAAGCATCACAAACATCAGCCCCACAGACAACAATAATCACATTAGAATCAATCAGAAAGCTAAACACAGTACAGGGGCAGACAGGAGCAGGGCAGGAGCAGGGCAGGAGCAGACAGGAGCATACAGGGCCACACAGGAGCAGACAGATGCAGGTGCAGATAGGAGCAGGGCAGGTACAGGCAGGAGCAGACAGGAGTAGACAGGAGCACATAGGAGTAGACAGGAGCAGAGCAGGAGCAGATAAGAGGACACAGAAGCAGGAATAGACAGGAGCAGGCAGGAGAAAATAGGAACAGACAGGAGCACAGGAACAGACAGGAGCGCAGGAGCAGACAGCAGCAGACAGGAGTAGACAGGCGAAAATAGGAACAGACAGGAGCACATAGGAACTGACAGGAGCACATAGGAACAGACAGGAGGACACTGGAGCAGACAGGAACAGAGAAGGAGCAGACAGGAATAGACAGGAGAAAATGCGAATAGACAGAAGCACATGAGCACACAGGAGCAGACAGGAGGACAGGAGCAGACAGGAGGACAGAAGCAGACAGGAGGACAGGAGCGGGCAGGAGTAGGCATGAGAAAATAAGAACAGACAGGAGCACACAGGAGGAGACAGGAGCACATAGGAACAGACAGGAGCAGACCGGAGTAGGCAGAAGAAAGTAGGAGCAGACGGGGGCAGCCAGGAGCAGACAGGAGCAAAGCAGGAGCAGAGCAGGCAGGAGCAGACAGGAACAGACAGGAGCATTTCAACAACAGACATCCTGGAGTTATCAAGTTTCAGAATTCAGTAACAGAGTTTGATGATACGCAGACACTCAACACAAAAGTTACACCATTAATGTGTCATAACAAACTGATATAAACTGCCATGACTGTAAATACAAAACCTATTTAGGTCAGTTAGTAGTACATGGCTGAGGTTCTCAATCAGTTTGTGACAAACTGATTGATATTAAAAATATCCCAAGGACCACCTAGAGTTCTTCACAAAGACACTGTAATGAAATTCAGAAGTTCAAACCATATAAGCAAATCTGGTGAGCTTTAAGTGGTGTTATAATGTCGTTACCTGCTCAAAAACAGACCTGGAGTTGTGTTTTGTTTCATTAGTATAACAAAGCTCTGAATGCTTTGTTCCAACTTGTGATGTCATGAAGTGGGAGTTTTCAAGTTAACAGTTACGTTTTATTTTTAATTCAGTAAAGGCTGGTAATTCCAGGGCTGAAATTATCCAAATGATTCTATTGAAGGTGTATGGAGTTTAAAAACACAGTGAAGCACTTCTTGTATTACCACATGACATCACAAGGTGGAAGAGAGTGTTTTCAGTTTGAGAAAAGAACTCAGTCTAAATCTGCAGGGTTTGTGTGTTAAATGTGTGAATGAAACACAACACAACTCCACGTCTGTTTTTGATGAAGAAACATTATAACATAGATGAGAAAGGAGCATTGTATGGGCACTTTAAAAAATTCCCCTTCCGTATAACTATGCTTTCATTCATTTTCTCATGTCCATGCAGTATAACCTAAATCCTTCAGTTATAAATGCCGTCACTGTCTGTGTAAATAAGATTCTCTGCGCCTTGGCCTACTTCTGCACAAGTGGGTTTTGTGGTTTCTGTGCATCCTGTAGCTACGGCAAGCACAAAGGGACAAATCAATCAGACGCTTATCATAATTGTGGCAGTGAAGAAGCTTTTGTAGCATAAAAAAAGGTGTGTGCAAATCGATAGCACATCCGACGGGCCTGGGCTGATAATGCAATAGGTGACAATTATGGGATGGATTATTGAGATGAAATTGTCAATGAAGGTAATTGGAGGACAGAACATAGCAACGGAAATAGAACTGCTATGTGTGTCGTTGTCATAGAAACACACAAGGTACAACAATATATTCAAAGATATTCATCATAAATGAATAGTTATTATTATTTTTTTTTTCAAAACTAAGAAGGAATGTTCAAATCAAGACCTTTAAATCATTCTTTACAGGGAAACCCTTTGCATTCTTTTTTTTTGTTACCAAATGTTTATTGGTTTTTAATATAACAAATAAGCAATACACAAACCAACATAACAGGTCCAGGACGAAATTAAATAAATGAAAGATTAGTGCTTATCTATATCTACCACATTAAACTTAGACAAACTTAAAACAACAATATTACTCAGCTGCTCAGTGGTCTAATATATGCCTCATAACAAGGAGGTTTTAACATCAGATATTGTTTGGTTCCAGAACTGAGTAGTTTTTTCTTTTGCATTATGGATACGCGCTGTGGACAATTCTAAATAAGCAATGTCCATAAATGAAAGTATCACTGGCAATGTGATAAAGAACGAGGGGGTTTCCATCTAACAGCAACCTTTTTTATAGCAGCTGTAAGACCCGACAGAAAAACCTTTTCTTGCTCTTTACTCAAGCCAAGCAGAGACATGTCATTAAGAAACAAAACCAAATGTGAACAGGGAATATTGGTAGATAGTAGAAGAGACAGACTATTGCTTATTACCTTCCAAAAGTAAAAAACACCTGGACATTCCCATACCATGTGGAAATAGGTACCTAATCAGTTTGTATGGCAAAGAGTACAATTTGAGTCAGTTCTGCACTTCATATTGAAAAGTCTGCAGGGTGTCATATACGTCCTGTGAATAAAGTTCAGAAACCTTTGCATTCTTGTATTTTATTAATAATTGCACATTCCCTGAGCCTTTTACATTTATTTTTTAACTGCACTACTGAGATTCTAACCAGGTCCAATTTATGGTTGTGCTTCAAGTGTCTGTGTCACAACACAAACATTTTGAATTCTCTCCGCAGAGGTTCTGTATCGACCGATGTGCACCTCAGAAATGTTCTAACTACACATTGAACGGACGCAGAGAGCAGGGAGCGAGACGCACACAATAAGAGCTGTGATTGGTCGTCTCTACCTCTGCTCTACAAACATTTCCGGTACTCCACTTTTCCGCTTCACTTTCAGTTTTAAATTGTCACCTCCTAGCGTTGTGGTGGTGAATTACTTCGCGGTGCATAGACCTCGAGGCAGATCCAAAAATGAAAAA